AGATATATGGAGACTCTCAAAAACAACCCACATAATTTGGTAATCTAACATATTGATGATTTCTAACATCTATATCACAGGAAGATCAGAAATTAACCAAGCGTGAGACTGCAAACTAGTACAACCTCTATGGAAAGTAGTATGGAGATACCACAAAGAACTAAAGGAGACCTACCTTTTGATCCAACAATCCCCTTACTGGGCATCTACCCAAAGCAAAAAAAGACACTTTATAAAAGACACCTGCACTCAAATGTTTGTATCAGCACAATTCACCGTTGCAAAGATGTGGAAACAACCCAAGTGCCCATCAGTACATGAGTGGATTAATAAAATGTGGTATATGTATACCATGGAGTACTACTCAGCCATAAAAAACAATGGTGAACTAATACCTCTTGTATTAACCTGGATGGAACGGCAGCCCATTCTTCTAAGTGAAGTATCACAAGAATGGAAAAACAAAAACCACATGTACTGATGAAGTCACTAGGAAAATAGATGAGAAAACCTGGTAACACTAGGCTTCTATAATGGTTAATATACCATTGGTGAGAAAGGCCAATACTTGGTCCAGTTATCTAAATGAGCCACTGGTATGAGAAAGGGGGTACCAGCTGGCATCAAAAATATTTAAAGAGACAGCAGCCTGGGCACCAGCTTTGGCCTTACCAAATACTTGGGAACATGGTAACCTCTGTCTCATAATAATTCCCAATACCATAGCTATGGATGGTAAAATCTCATTTGTTAATGGAGAGAAATCAGAACCTAGTACTTTGTATCAGTGAAGAAGATCCTGATTCAGTCATAACACCCACTGACTGTTCACAGAGGGTGTAGATTTTATAAGAACAGATCATTATTCCCCTACACCTTTCTACGAAATTACTAAGGGCAAAGAAGAGCTATGTATACGAGTATCTTAATTTGGGTTCCCTTAGAAGCAGATCCTTAGACAAAGATTCTAATGCAAGTAGTTTGTTTAGGAACTGGCCTCAGGGAACATGCATAAGAGAGTAGGGAAGTTATATAGAGAAAGGAAAATAGTCAATGAAGAGCACGTTATCAAGAAAGCTACTACTGTAGGTGATTGGAGCTTAATCTCATGGGTAAACTATGGGGAACCATAAAAATCACAAACTTTGGTTACTTTGCTCAAGAGGTGAGAGAGCCAGGGTACGCAAACACCAACTCCCATCAGTTTCTGACTGAGAGCCACTCCCAGAGGTGCTAACCCCTAGCTCTTCCGGTCTATCATGCAGAGGTGGGAGAAGCCTTCCAGGCTTCTGAAAAAGCCCTCAGAGAGATACTGGCAGTTAAAAATCAGCTGGAGCAAACAGAAATAAGACTGAGGGATAGGGGGCGTGACAGTCAGCGTTAGCTATGTATATTTGAACCACAGAAAAATCTTACTCCTTTTCTATTGGGGAAAGTAGCTTAGGCAGATTAGATGAAGGAGATATGGGGTGGAATACTTATAGACATTTGAAATTTGATGGCAACTTAAGGATTTCAGGAGTTGGTAAGAACACCTGGAGAGAAAGCAATGTGGACACCAGCATTAACCATGGGCTTTGAAACTGGCCTGGGGATCTTAGTTAGCTGCATTGACTACTGCACCATAGGACGGGGTGGCTAACAGACCACAGTGGGGACCCTTGCCAGTAATTTGGAAATAACAACACATTATTTTGATATCAGTGAAGTTTCACCAGTTGGGTAGACACTTTTCAAACCAAACAGCAACTAAGAAAGCTGCAAAGATTTTAGTTCAATAACTTCTCTTAACTGGGAGGTCTCAAAGAAGCAAATATGGAGACATATTTCATGGGAAACTTTTATAATCTGACAAGAAACTGTGCAATAAAGACTGAGATACAAATGGCTCTGACGAAAACAAGAGATTACTGAGCTCAACACCTTCTTTTGATTCTAAGGAAATTAGGACCCGAGTATCCAATGGATCAAGACAGATGCTTTATGAGGGCCTCTGTGGAAGCCCTAGGGTTTAGGGGAAACCTATTCACCCTTTATCTTCTACAAATAGAGGCCTTGAGTGAAGGAAGCCACTCAGGGTCCCTGTTCCTCTGCTAGCTTTCCTCCATGTACATTTTCCAAACAAGGAATCGAGTTGGGTCAGATTCCAGTACAATTATTAATTGGACCATTTTTGCTCGTGAGCAGGGTCATTGTGCTTTTATAAAATTCCATTCATGTATACAGCACTCTCTCCTGCTTCCTGTGGCCTCCATGAAGCTGATGTGATAAATTGACTATCCAGATTTCTCTTCCCAACATGGCAGCCAGGTTTAGGGATACTATTCCATCAGTCTAGGGCTCTTTTTTGAAATGGGATTTCTTTGTTGGGACTTTTAAATTTCTATGGGAGTTTAATTTCTCTGGAAATTTGACAGTAAGTATTTTATATTTCCAACATGGTATTATTTGTACTATGCTATCATCTGGCATTCATTGTATGGTTCTCCTTGGTAGGCTAGGTTCAACTGTGTAGCTGTACATACTTTAAGATGAGAAATAGAATAGGTGGTAAATGCTTCACTAAATATTAATATAGTGTGCTCTTTAAGTCCTCAATGAAATCATTTCACAAGTTTCTAAGGATGACATCAGAAGCATTAACTGAAGGCGCTGGGGAGCTGAATTTCGACATCTCTTTGTTCCAAGGCAGGCTCCTAATAGCCATGATATTGATCAGGGAAATGGCTCCATCAAAAGGCTGGAAGAACTTACCTGCAGATTTTCTCCCCTAAGGTAGAAAATCACATACAGCTCAGCCATTAACCCTTTGGGGTTAATAGAGAAAGAACAGTAAGTAGAGACTGTTAAATTTCCACAAAGGAGTTCAAACATCCTAACTGTACCTGCCCCCACCCCATCTTTATTCCCAAGAAAGGATGAACTGATTGGTAAGAATCCAGGATCCTCATTAGGCTGATTTCTAGTACACATAACTTAGGGTTATCAGTAAAACCCCATAACTTGGGGTTATCAGTAAAAACCTCTTGGGTATTATTTTCTCCAGCTTAGGTGACTGACTGTAGCTTTTCATAACAGTGGAATAGAAAATTCTGAGGTTTGATTTTGGGCTTAAGAGCTCTAGATTGGAGTTTGGAGCCAAAGCACCAGCTAGTGAAGTATTATTAAATACTTTGCTTACCTTTGCTTCCTTTGTGGGCCTTACAGAAAAGGTAGTTAAGCCAAGGACAGATTTGGGTATCTCTGGGTCCCTTGATCTAGTATCATCCTAACCTTGTCTCTTAATAGCACCCCAATTTCACCCCAACCCCCAACAGAGTATAAGAATGTAAGTTCGAATCATGCAAACAGTAAAAGGAATCCAATCAAGAGCATGGCAGTTAGAAATATGAAATCTGAACAATGAATGAAAACTTAGAAGAATTTGTAGATTGTCATTCTAGACGATCTATTCCTATGCTGCAGAACCCTTATGAGAAGACTGAGGATGCGAAAGATGCTGACTTACACACAGGGGCTACCCAGGGTTTGCCAGTGGTACACTAAATAGAATCTGATAAGAAATGCAAAAGATCTTGATAGAGGGAAGAGACTACTCTTTAGTGGTCCAAACCTTGTTTTGGTAATTAACATCATCATCCTGCATTCCCATCTTTGTTTATTTGCTGTGTATTTCACACTAGATTCTGATCCATTTTCTTCATTCTTATAATGTGACCTTGACTCTGATTAATTCCACGCTAACAGTTTCATTGACAGACCCAGGTTCTTTCCTGAACTGACAGCCCCTGTGGCAGAGGCAGTAATGTAAGACATTCCATTTTTTCCCCTACATCTGCCAGCCCTCTTGCAAGTAGATAGGACCACATGACCAGCTGCGACCAATGAAATGTAAGTAGATGTGACATGTCACTTCTGGACTGAGGCAGTAAAGAGCCTACGTGAGATTCTCCAGCCTCTCACTTTCTCCTACAGTGCCAACTGAAAAGGCCACATGTCCTTGATGATGCAGCTACAAAAGAACAGAGCCTCAGTCAGTCTGGAACCTTGAGTGACTGTGTGGAACAGATCCCTTCCCATTTCCACATCCCTATGACCTGTGTGGGATACGTAGTGTGAGTGAAAAACAAACTCTTGGTGTGTAAAACTTCTGACACTTTGAGATTGTTACCTGGGCATAACTGTATTCTTAACAAATACAGCCCCGCTTCTGCACGCACAACACCTATTCCGTACTCTTAACTTAGTTGTTAATAAACCTACATGTTACATCCAGACTCCTCTGAACTGGCTCTATGGACGGAAGATCACACACAAGTCAGCAAGCAAAGCTTTAGCTTTCAACCAAATACGTAGTAGTGAGCAATACAATTCAGTAAACACAACTACTTTCAACTGCACAAAAAACAGGAAATAATTAAATTTCTTATAGACATTTCTTTATTATATTTTCCCACTTGAATATTTAGAGAATAATTTAAATGTAATGCATACTGACAGCAAGCACAGTATCAAATATTAGGGTTTTTTAATATTTTCTTTTCTCACCCTTTATTCCCTTAGGAAAAAAATATTTAGATGACCTCAAAGAAACAATTATTATGCTAATCACAGTATGCAGTAACACATACAAGCCCAGACTCAATAGAAAAGAAAGCAACAAAGAAGTGAAAAACTCTTTCTCCTCAAATCATTTTAATCCGTTTTTCCACAGCCATATAAATTTAAAGTATGAAACAACAATAATACAGCTATAGAATCTAGGTTCTCTTTCAAAGCAGCGGCATATAAAACATAGAAAAGCTAAAACCTCAGCACAAGCTTCAAAAGAACAAGGACTGAGAGGATTTTGATGAAGACATGAAATGCACAAAATACAGTACACAAAAATACTAGAATGCATAAAATATAAAGCTACACATTTCAGGTAGAAAGCATTGTAAAATATATAAAATATGCAAGAAATCAAAACCAAAGAGATTTTTCTTAGAGTACCATGAATACACTGGAACTGGCAATTAGCATTTGAAGATGGGAACAAGAAAATAGCAGTTTCCCATTTAAAACTTTATTTCTAGGCTTTAGGATTTCACCTTCTTGACATCCTTCTTTCCAGAGCTCTCAGTAGCTGACTCTGCTTTTCTTTTCTGTGACTAAAATGGAAACAGATTTAATGTTCTGCTCCAATATGCACATTTTTAAATGGCCCAACAATGTTAAATCTAGGATGTAAATGCATTAAAAAAAAATTTTAACATGAATATTCACTTAAATGTTATACTCACAGTTAATGTTCTATATAGCCCAACAAACTATATAACCCAATGTAAAATAACCTTCAAAGACGTTTCTTTTTACGAAAAGACATAAAATACCCATCAAAAATAGTCATGAAGTATCTACTTACACATGGTATTATAAATGTACTCTTATCTTAAAGAACTACTTGATACCTAAAGTTTTCTGGGCAAAAGTTTGAGTGTTTAATTTTAAAAAAACTTATGATAGATTTTAACACACCATATTTCACATCTTCTATGATGCACATTGTTTTCACATTTTAGCATCTGTGCAATCAGGATGCATCTTACAATTAGTGAGAAATTATACCTGGCAGCATTTTTTCTCAGTGGTATATAAAATAATGCTGTGTCTTACAATGGAAGGCATCCTAGATTTGATGAAATATGGCAGTTT